TTCATCACGTGAAACCTCGTAAACCAAATCGATCATACAGTGGCTGTGTATTACATTTATTGCATCAAAAATATAAATGTTAAATTCGTAAATACTAATATTTAAAAAATGCAAAGAACCGAAAAACAACATACCATCCCCCACGACCACCAATAGGGCATGTGAAATCCTTAATCATGAAAACCATCAAAACACCGAAGCTTGCAGCAAACACAAAATCAATCAGATGTAATAGAATTCTTGGTATCTTCCTAGCTTCAGTATAGCGACGAAAACAATAAAGTACAAGGAAATATAAAGAAACTATTATAGAAAGTCCAGATACAACATATACGAAATAAATCGCCCATTTGTTTGATTCTTTTGGCATTTCTTGTTTTGAGTACTGAAAAATAATCAGAAAAATGAAGACAGTTAGATTAGTATGAAGATTTTATAAAACTTTCTGATATTTACCAACGGAGCACCAATAATAAATCCAAGAGCGCCAGCACTAGCCAAAAGAATGAATAACCTGAAAAAGAACCTTTTCCCACTAGGTATATGTTTCTTTTTAGGTTCTTCAGTGGGGTTCATCTTTGAAGGATCAGATGTCTCAACCCCAGGATTCACAGCAGCAGCAAGACCTACTGATACATTATTATCATCAGAATTTTCTTTTTTTTCAACAACAGTTTCAGAGTGTGTTGTAGTGCTACTATTTTTATTCTCATTATCACCAGGACTACTGTAAGCATTCGTTTCAGTAGCAGTAGAATAAGCATTCATATCAGTACTACTACTGTAAGCATTTGCTCCAGCACCAGTGGTATAAGTATTCGTTCCAAATCCGGTATAAGCATTCGTACCAGCACCAGTGGTATAAGCATTCCCATCAGTGTTGTAAGCATTCGTTCCGCCATATGCATTACCATAAGTATTAGTACCAGTATTACCATAAGCATTCACACCATATGGATTTGTTGAATCGTAAGTGTTAAAATTTTGATTTTGAAATGGATTGTAGTTAGGATTATATGCATTTGCACCTTGATTATAATTTGGATCATAGGTATTCGCAATACCACTACCACCATTACTACCACTTGGCATCTGTGAATGACCATAAAATGGATTATTATCATAAACGTTTAATTGTTGTTGAGGTTGTTGATATTGTGGATTATATTGCTCATATGGCTGATTATAAGATAATTGAGGTGGATTCTCCCAAACATTATGAGGAGGATACAAATGTGCATCTTGAGGCTCATGAGGAGGATGCTGCTGTGTGTCCTGAGCACTTTGAGGAGGATACATTTGTGTATTTTGAGGTTGATCATTTTTTTGAGAGCCATCAACAGTAGAAAGATTTATATCTTGATTTTGGCCCGCCATTTATTAACAGTAATTTTAAAAATGTCTATATTTATTTATTTATATGATAGCAGTGCGTATCTATCGTTAACTATTATCACAAACTATTTTACGAATATTTTTAGAACATGCCAAACATGCCAAGCGGGTTAAACCAAAACAAATGGAAATGAAGGTGCTTTTTATATTTTTGATGCAATAAATGTAATACACAGCCACTGTATGATCGATTTGGTTTACGAGGTTTCACGTGATGAA